TCTGAACAAATGGGTAAACAAACATATGGACAAAATAACTGGATTCTACACATGATAAATACATACATGACACAGTGGTTTTCAAAGTGGTTTTCATGGCGTTCTATTGGAAGAAGATGTCATCTTGGCCTTGTGCTTACTTTGGAGAATACCAATGTAAACATCTGGGGATACAGAAGATGATCTATTGGAGTAAGGAAAGAAAGTATGTAAATTTTTCCATATATTTTGTATCTTCTACTCTCTTACAGGCATACCTTGTTTTATTGCACTTTGCTTTATTATGCCTCAGACATTGCCTTTTCTTTTTTTAAAATAAATTGAAGGTTTGTGGCAACCCCTGTGCTAGGCAGGTCCATTGATACCCTTTTCCCAACATCATTTGCTCACTTCATGTCTCTATGTCACAATTTGGTCTCTCTCACAATATTTCAAATTTTTTAAAATTATTTTGTTATGGTGATCTGTGATCAGTGACCTTTGATGTTACCATACAGACCATACCCACATAGATGGTGAACTTAATTGATAAATGTTGTGTGTGGTTCGACCAGCTGTTTCTTCATTTCTCTCCTTCTAGTAGATGCCTCCCTATTCCTTGAGACACAACAATATTGAAAGTAGACCAATTAATAACTACAATGACCTCTAAGTGTTCAAGTGAAAGGAAGAGTCACATCTCTCACTTTAAATCAAAAGCTAGAAATGATTTGCCTTAGTGAAAAGGCATGTTGAAAGCTGAGATAGGTTGAAAGCTAGGTTTTTTCCACCAGTTAGCCAAGTTGTGAATGCAAAGGAAAAGTTCTTGAAGTAAATTTAAAGGTGCTAAATCAGCGAAAACACAAATGATAAGAAAATGAAACAGCTTTATTGCTGATATGGAGAAAGTCTGAGTTGTCTGGATAGAAGATAAAACCAGCACAACATTCCCTTAAGCTGAAGCCTAATCAAGAGCAAAACCATGACTCTTTACAATACCGTGAAGGCCGAGAGAGGTGAGGAAGCTTCAGGAGAAACGTCTGAAGCTAGCAAAAATTGGTTTACGAGGTTTAAGGAAAGAAGCTATCTCCATGACATCAAAGTGCAAGGTGAAGCAGCAAGTGATCCAGAAAATTTTGGTAAGATCATTAATGAAGGTGGCTATACCAGATTTTCAATATAGACTAAATAGCCTTCTATTGGAAGAAGATGCCATCTTGGCCTTTCAGAGCTAGAGAGGAGAAATCAATGCCTGGTTTTAAAGCTCCAGAGGGTAGGCTGGATCTCTTGTTAGGCGCTACTGCAGCTGGTGACTTTAAGTTGAAACCACTGCTCCTTTGCCATCTGAAAATCCTAGGGCCGTTAAGAATTATGCTCAATCTACTCTGCCTGTGCTCTATAAATGGAACAACAAAGCCCGGATGACAGCACATCTGTTTACAATATGGTTGACTGAATATTTTAAGGCTACTGTGGAGAACTATTGCCCAGAAAAAAAAAAAAAATCCTTTCAAAATATTACTGCTCATTGAGAGGTCTGACTCTAATTCTTTTTTTTTTTTGACTGACTCTAATTTTGAAAGAACTTCCACTGTGGGTAAAATTCTATCAAACAGTATTGCATGCTACAGAGCAACTGTTCGTGAAAAAGAGTCAACAGAGCAGAAAAATTCATTGTTGTCTTGAGACATTGCCACAGTCAACTGAACCTTTAGCAGCTACCACCCTGATCAATCAGCAGCTATCAATGTGGAGGCAAGACCTTCCATCAGCAATATTACAACTCCCTGAAAGTTCAGATGATGGTTAGCATTTTTCTTTTTAGCAATTAGGTACTTTTATTTTTATTTTTTAAAAAATATTTTATTTATTCATGAGAGATACAGAGAGAGAAAGGCAGAGACACAGGTAGAGGGAGAAGCAGGCTCCATGCAGGGAGCCCGATGTGGGATTCGATCCCGGGTCTCCAGGATCACGCCCTGGGCCAAAGGCAGGCGCTAAACCGCTGAGCCACCCAGGGATCCCCCACAATTAGGTACTTTTAAAATTAAGGTATGTATATACTTTTTAGATGTCATGCTATCACACATATAATAGTCTACAGTATAGTGTAAACATAACTTTTATATGCACGGGGAAGCCAAAAAATTTATTTGATTCACTTTATTGCAATACTTGCTTAATTTGGTAGTCTGGAACCCAACCTGCAATATCCCTGAGGTATGCCTGTAATTTTGATTTTTGAGCATATTTTATTATACCTATAACATGGTAGTACACATATAATTCATGCACAAATAAGTACATATTTTGGAAGTACATGTTCAAAAATTTTGTACTGAAAGGATGTATAGTCAAAACCATTTAGAGACCATTGGCAAAATGTATTGAGTAGTCTTGAAATAGTGTTAGCAACATGATAGTGTTATTAAGTCACAGGATATTTAATAAGGGGATGGATAGATAGAGTGCTTAATACAAAGAAATACATACACTACTACATAGATTATAGTCTAAACTGTATGTCTTAACTTCCTTGTAATCCTGGACAAATTACTACTTAATCCTGACCTCATTTTCCTCTTATCAAATATGAGGACTGGGCTAATTTGAGGTTTCATATTTATGCTCACTTATACTCCAGGTTTTGATGAGTTTCTGTACAGCTCCTGCAGAGGTAAGAGATAGGAAAGACTACAGGCAGGCTCTAGCCTTTCTATATTGCCTCACTACCTAGCTTCCTTTATTGATCAAATGTACAGGGTAAGAACAGAGGGTCTGTGGGGTGGCTAGGGAGAAAAGAAAACCACCAGGCTAGATCATTTCTTAAGATCTCTTTTCATTTTAAGGGCACATAAAATTCAAAGCTGTTATAACTAATCTTTGTTATCAAAAACAAAAGCCTTTTGGGCAGCCCGGGTGGCCCAGCAGTTTAGCGCCGCCTTCGGCCCAGGGCGTGACCCTGGAGACCTGGGATGGAGTCCCACGTCAGGCTCCCTGCATGGAGCCTGCTTCTCCCTCTGCCTGTGTCTCTGCCTCTCTCTCTCTCTATCATGAATAAATAAATAAAATCTTTTGAAACATCAGAAATTTGGCTGGCCTATTTTGAACAAATAGTTTAAATCTTGATTGGTCTCTCAAATTAGCTCTATTTGGTCTTTGGGATTCCATATTGGTATCTTCCCTCAGTTTTATTTGTATGAAAAATTAAGCATATTTTATTTATTTTACTACATAATAATTAGTTGGTCACATTTTACACCCCCTTTCTTTCCACTTGATTATTGTCTTTCCATTTGGCTATTTGATTCTGTTGGCGTATTCCTGCTACTGTGACTCTCAGGAAGAGCAATTGTTTATGCTAAGAATGCCTGCATGCCAGCTGAAAAACAATGGTCTTTAAATCCTACACACCATAATATCTTTTATTTAAAGATTTTATTTATTCATGAGAGACACACACACACACACAGAGAGAGAGAGAGAGAGAGAGAGAGAGAGAGAGGCACAGGCAGAGGGAGAAAGAAGCAGGCTCCATGCAGGGAGCCCGACCTAGGACTCGATCCGGGGTCTCCAGGGTCACGCCCTGGGCCGAAGGCGGCGGTAAACCGCTGAGCCACCAGGGCTGCCCCATGATGTCATTTAGACAACAGCAGGCAGAAACCACTCTTATCAGTCCTCTTATGTCCCTTTCAGGATTGTCTTTAGCATGTAAGGGCTGAATCACGTCGAGGGTGGAGGTGGTTATCAGTGGGCAAGATACACGTAAACTCTCTCAGAAGCTTGTAGTGTTTGGAGCCTACTTAGCGTAAGACGCACCGTTCAAAGGACTTGGCACTTTGCTCCACTCGTTACCATTCTAATCAGCTTAAGGATACGTCCCTCATCGCCCACTCGGGTTTGATATGCTCGCAATTCGCACACACACAAATGCACGTCGCCCTTACTCTGTGCCGTAATCTGTCCTACTTCCGATCCCGTTAACAAAGCAGACTGAAAGAACACGGAACGCCCGACCCACGCCGTACGCCTAGGTCCGCGGGAACTGGGAGTCTGACCTCACCCCAGCCACGGGGTCCCCGCGCCGGCGTCGTCCCGCAACCTCGCGTACACTTCCTCCAGCCCCACCCCCGGGCCAGTGGACGGGCTCCGGCCCCGCCCCTTTCCCTTTCCTCCCAGCCAATGGGGCGCGCCGCCCCACCCCGTCCGGCCACGGCCCCGGCGCGCCGCCCCTCCCGCCCCTCAGGCTCCCGCCGGCCGTCGCCGCCCCCTCCCGCCGCGCTTTCCGGACGCGGCGCATGCGCTCTCCCGTCGGGCCCTGGAGAGACGCTTGGGGATCGGTTTTCTCCTCCTTTCTTTCTCCAGTCGCGCGACTCTCTAAAGTCCCTCCCGCCCTACTGTCGCTGAGGCTCCCTCTCCTAGTCCGAGAAGGTGCCGCTCCAGCCTTGAGTGCGTCGGTATCCGGATGTGGAGCCGCTCTCGCCCGGCGGGGACTCTGTGGCGAGGCGGAGCGCGGCGGCGTGCGCGGGGGCAGAGAGAAGGGGGCCCGTGGGCCCGGGCGCTCGCCGGACGCCGGGAGGTACCACCGCTGCCCGCGGGGGAGGACGCGGCGGCGCCGGCGCTCGGGCGCCCACCCCGGAGCGAGGGGCTCGGGGAGAAAAAAGGCAGGCGGTTAAGCTTGCTCCCCGCCGGCCTCGCCGTTCCCCCCGGGCTAGCCTCCCCCGGCCCCCTGCGCTCCCCGCGCTCCCGGCCGGGGGAGAGCGTGGTTTCCTGGCGGCCGTCGCTGTAGCCCGGCCGGGGAGCCCGGAGGAAGCGGGGCAGTCCCCGCCCACGGCCCCCTCCCCTCTGCCCGCCCGCCGCAGCCGCCAACGCCGCCGCCGCCAACGCCGCCGCCGCCGCCTCGGAGCCGCTGCGGTCAGGCCTCCAGTCCGAGCGGGGGGCGCGGCGGCGGCGGCGGCGGCTCGAGAGCGTCTGCGGGCTTGCCGGGGACCGCGCCGCCGCCCCCGTGAACTATTCCCACGTACCCCGGGGCTCGCTGCCGCTCCCGCCGGCGCCGAGAGGCCGGCCCGGGCCCAACTCCCTCACGGGGCCCCCGGCGGCGGCGGCGGCGGCGGCGGCGGCGGCGGAGCCCACCGCCCGGGCCCCAATGAGTAACTCCCGGAATAACCGGGTGATGGTGGAAGGGGTCGGGGCCCGGGTAGTGCGCGGCCCGGACTGGAAGTGGGGGAAGCAGGACGGCGGCGAAGGCCATGTGGGCACGGTGCGGAGCTTCGAGAGCCCCGAGGAGGTGGTGGTGGTGTGGGACAACGGCACCGCCGCCAACTACCGCTGCTCCGGGGCCTACGACCTGCGCATCCTGGACAGCGCGCCCACGGGTAAGTCTTGGTCCCCTGACCCCCCCGCCCCCCCCCCCCCCCCCGGGCGGCGCGCCGGTGGAGGAGGGGCGAGGCCGGCTGGGCGTCGGGCAGCCTGCGGGGAGCCCGCAGGAGAGCGGGGGACAGCCACAGGGATGTTATTAGGTCCAGTACCTGGTGGACGAAAACTTGGAGAACAGACCCCGCCACCCCCACGGGAAATGGTGGCAGCACCGTCACCAGGATGCTTTCAAGCCTGGAAGGCACAAAGCGCCGGGAAGACAACAGACTGGTCCCCTCCTCCTCCTCTAGGGACAGGGTCTGGAGAGGCCCGGCTAATAAGCCATTGAAATTAATCAGCCACCGAGTGATCACTGTCTGGAGAGAGGCCTGCCGAGCCATATGGTGTTTAGTTGACGGGTTACGATTGCCGAGGGGCCTCTTGTAGCTCGGATTCGCTGAGATACGGTGTGTGTGTGCGTTACCTCCTGTAACACACAGAACGGAGCTGAATGTTAATTGGGGCCTTGTGGAATGATTTTTCGTCTACATTGTTTCATTACCCATAGAAGGAAAAACACTCTCTAAGCTGTTGAGCCATTTCCTTGTGTTAAATACTTTTTCCAAGTGGAGCAGACACCTGCCCTTTTTTTTTTTTTTTTTTTTTTGGTCGCTAATAGCCCATCTCGTATGTAAAGTCATATCAGGGACTTCGCCGTTCATGCACAATGAGTCAAGGTCCTCGATTCACAAAATTTCAGGGATCTGACTCTAAGACTTTTATGCAATGTGGTAAACGGAAGAAGGTTTGTGCTCATAAAATAAAGATCTAACTTTATTGGATTATTTTAATCAAAACATTTTAACAGATTTGTCCTCGATACTCTATTTAGTAGAAAGTAGTTAAAACATAAAATTTGTTACTTTTCTGAATGCATAAATAAGCTACTTTTAAAAAACTGAGGTATCATTGACATATATTAGTCTTCTGTGTACAAGATAAAGATTTGTTTGTATATATTGCGAAATTATCACAGTAAGTCTAGTTAGTATCCATCATCATACATAGTTAATAAGATTTTTTTCCCTTTGTGACGAGAACTTTTAAGATTTACTATTTTAACAACTTTCAAATATGTGATAGTGTTATTAATTGTAGTCACCATGCTGTACATTACATCCCATGACTTTATTTTATAACTGGAATTTTGTACCTTTTGACATCCTTCACCCATTTCACCTACTCCCACCTCTGACAACCACCAATCTGCTATTTGTACCTATGAACTTTTTTTTTTCAGATTCCATGTATATTTGAGATTATATGGTATATCTCTTTGTTTTATTTCACTTGGCACAGTGTTCTCTAGATCCGTCCATGTTGTTGCAAATGGCAGGATTTAATTCTTTTTTTATAGCTAAGTAATATTCCATTATATATATATGTGCCATATTTTCCTTATTCATTCATTGTTGTTGGACTTTTAGATTGTTTCCTTGTCTTGGCTATTGTAAATAATGCTGCAGTGAACATGAGGATAGATTAATCTTTTTGGGTTACTGTTTTCTTTAGGTAGATACCCAGAAGTATTGCTGGATCCTCTGGGAGTTCCATTTTTCTTTCTTTCTTTTTTTTTTTTTTTTTAAGATTTTATTTATTCATTCATGAGACACACACACACACAGAGAGAGAGAGAGAGAGAGAGAGAGGGAGGCAGAGACACAGGCAGAGGGAGAAGCAGGCTCCATGCAGGGAGCCGGACGTGGGACTTGATCCCAGGTCTCCAGGATCAGGCCCTGGGCTGAAGGTGGCACTAAACCGCCGAGCCACCCGGCTGCCCTGGAGTTCTGTTTTTAATCTTTTGAGGAACCTCCATACTGCTTTCCATATTGGTTTATACTAATTTATGTTCCCACCAACAGTAAACAAACATCCTTGGTTTTGTCCACATCCTTGCCAATCCTTGTTATTTCTTGTCTTTTTGATAGTAGCCATTTTAGCAAGTGTGAGGTGATATCTCACTATGATTTTGATTTGTGTTTTTATGATGATTAGTAATGTTGAGCATTTTTTCACGTGTCTGTTGACCATCCATATGTCTTTTTTGAAAAAATATTCAGATCCTCTGTCCATTTTTAAATCAGATTTTTTTTTGCTGTTGCATTATATGAGTTTTTATGTATTTTAGATATTAATCCCTTCTATGTATTATTTGCAAATATTTTTTCACATTCAGTAAGTTGCTCTTTCATTTTGTTGATGCTTTCCTTTGCTGTGCAGTGGTTTTTTAGTTTGATGAAGTCCCACTTGTTTATTTTCATTTTTGGTGCTTTTGCTTTTGGCATCAAGTCCAAAAAAATCATTGCCACAGTCATTGTTAAAGAGCTTACTGCCTCTGTTTTCTTCTAGGAGTTTTATGGTTTCAGATCCTAACTTTAAAGTCTTTAATACGTTTTGAGTTGATTCATAAATAAGCTACTTCTAAGGCTTTATCGTTGAGTTTGACAAAGCCTAATGAATCTGAAATGGGTTCATATTTATTATTAGCAGCAACAAAAAGGAAACACAAGCCAGCTCAGTTTTTTTGAACAGATAATTCATAAAATTGTGTTTCCTAGCTGGCTATTTAAATATTTGAAAAAGATGTATATGCGTGTCCCAAAGAAAAGATTCAACGGTACAAAAAGGGACAGCCATTGTTATCAGTTTCTTGTGTGTTCTTACATAATACTCTATTTATTGCAGGCATGTTTATTAATATACTGTTAATCTATCTTTTTAAAGTACAAATGGTAATAAGCTATAGTCTCTTTTGCACTTTGGTTTCTTTCACTTAATAGTGTATATTGTCAGTTATTCCATGTTAGCACATGTAGGTCTACCTTATTCTTTCATAACTGCATAATATTCCAGTGACTGGATGTCATACTTAACTAGTGCTTTCTTCATGGGCATTTATATTGTTTCAGGTCTTATTTACAATGATGCAATGAATAAATTCTGTGCATATGTGCTGAGTACTTCTGATGTGGAATTGCTGTATCAAGGGATACACATATTTAACATTTTGATAGATATTGACTAATTAATGTCCAAAGACATTTTACTAGTTTACACTCCGACATGTTATACTGTATGAGGCATATACCTGTTTCTGCACACTCTTAAAATTTTATCTTTGCTACCTCAAGCTAAAGTTTGACCACAATTCCATAATTTGGAGTCATTTTGGTATCAGTAATTGCAGGTTTATGGGGAAATTTAAATATCTTTCTAGGGTAAAGTGTAACAAATCCTATACTACAGCAGTTTTTGAAGGGTTATTAATGTTGTCTGTATGCTTTGTAGTATGAAGTACATCTGTCATGAATAGTTTCATTATCTTATATAAAAGATGTTTTTAGAAGTAATTGTTTTAAAAATCTCAGTTTAATTTACAAGATAATTTTACCTATTTATTTAAAAAATATTTATTTATTAATGAGAGACACAGAGACATAGGCAGAGGGAGAGGCAGGCTTCCCGCAGGGAGATGCGAAACTTGATCCCAGGACCCCAGGATTACGACCTGAGCCAAAGACAAACTCTAAACCACTGAGCCACCCAGGTGTCCCAATTTTACACATTTAATTTGCTGTGTGTAACAATTCATCTTGTTCATCTGATTCTTTTAGCAGACTTTTTTTTTTTTTTAAGATTTATTTATTTATTTATTCAGAGAGAGCGAGAGAGAGGCAGAGACACAAGCAGGCTCCCTCTTGCGGGGAAGCCTGACGTGAGACTCGATCCGGATCTCCAGGATCACACCCCGGGCTGCAGGCGGCGCTAAACCGCTGCGCCACCGCGGCTGCCCCTTAGCAGACATTTTAAAAGCATTTCTAGATGCAGGGTAGCTCTAGCCTTATGCAGTGCTGTTGAAATGTATTTTAATTCCTAGGATTTAATTTCTTCAGTTTTTTTTTTTTTTCCCTTAAAGGATTGAATAAATCACAAACAAGCTCTTAGATCTGGCTTTACCCCAGGACTATCCTACTACTTTCAATTTTCTTTTCTCTTTTTCCTTCAAGATATTTGATAATTGATGTTTATTGGTACCTTATTACATTCTCAAGATTTATTAAATATTACGTATAGTTCTGATTTTTACATAGTAGTTAAAATAATAAATTTAACCTTTTTGAAGTAATTTCAGGTTTACAAAAATTATAAACAGAAAAATAACATTGGTTATTAACTAATCTACAGACCTTATTCAGATTTCACCAGTTGTCCCACTAATGTCCTTTTACGGGTTCAGGATCCAATCTAAAATCTCAATTACTTTGAGATGCTACAGTGCAGCATGACTAGAACTTTGAGCTGCATGTGAGGCTGTCAGATTCTCTAGCTCCAGTTGGTCAGTCTTTACTCTCGTGGTATTATTTTTTTACTCTATCAGCGTTCTTAATCTTTTAGATTTTCTTTGTTCCAAGCAGCAGCTCAAAGTTCTAGTCATGCTGCACTGTTGAAGTCAAGCTCTGCCCTTGGGAGAGTATATGACATTGTCATATCTATTTAACTATCAGATCTTACCCAGTATTTCAAATTACTGAAAACTTACCTCTTTTGTAAAGCTTCTTTTGTTTTTGAGAAGAATTAGCCTATTAATATTTGCTTTTAAGTATATGGTTAGGGGCAACATAAGTAATTACATTACCAGGTGTAGGCGAAAATTTTGTTAGAAATTAGAAGCCAGGGGATCCCTGGGTGGCTCAGTGGTTGAGCACCTGCCTTCGGCCCGGGGTGTGATCCTGGGGTTCCGGGATCGGGTCCCGAGTCTGGCTCCCAGCGTGGGGACTGCTTCTTCCTCTGCCTGTGTCTCTCATGAATAAATAAGTAAAATCTTAAAATGAGATATTTTATGTATGAGATCAGTGTATTAAATAATTGTATTTATTTTTAAAATATTTTATTTTTTTAGTATTTTTAAAATATTTTATTTATTCATGATATATATATATATATATCATCTATATATATA